GGTTAAAGGGGGCTTTTTTAGGGATGCACGATATATCGGCCACCATATCGGTATCGGCCCATATCGCCTCATTTTTTCTGTTATTGGTATCGGCCTGATAAGAAAATTTGGCCGATATCTTAAAGCCGATAAATAATGCATTATTTCCTTCAGAGACACTTCAGATGTGCGCTGTTCGTTTGCAGCCTTTTGTGCAATTGTACGTTGTAATATTGTGTTTATTTGATGTATATCTGATTTATCTCATATAGAATGCGTTTGGTTAAGTTAAAAGAGCGCTTCAGTTTACCGGTGATCGTCTTTAGCTCAGCGCACGCAGCTCAAACAGCAGTGCACAACATTAATAACTATGATTGGGAATGTTGTGTATATAACATTCTAATGAGAACATTATTATAATAAAACGTTGTGCATTCTTTGGGTTTAGTTGCTGTGTTTCAGCGCGTTGTTATGGGAAGAGCGCATCCACAACAGGATCACACATTCTGACTATAGCATGCAATAACTGCGTCATTTTGTACATATATAAGTTGTAATATTATGTTTATGTTGTATTAATATTAATCTCAGGATGCATTTCCTTGAGTTAAATAAGCTGCCAGCAAAACGCTTCAGTTTACCGTGTTCATTCAGCTCTTCAGCTTCAGCTTGAGCTGCAGCTCAATGGCTGCTATTTAAAACAGTGGTATTAATTTGTTACTTTTTCAAAATCATTGATATATTATTAATAACAACAACCACTTGTATTTTTCTCTTATTATTTTCATCAACAATATGGTTTAGTAATTAAAATCATTTAATTATTGTCCGTGCAGAGGCTATTCCGTTTTATTGATCTATGGCGCATTCATTTTGATTCTTTACACGTGTAATGATGTCCAGTGACTTGTTTGCATTATTTCTGCATTATTTTATTTATTTGTAAGACTTTTTTATGACTAAATTTGGTAATGGGAGAGTAAAATTATTTTTTAAACGTACACCGTTCAAACTAGGCTGCTTATGTTGAAGTGTTTGGGATGTGGCTTTTAATGATGAGACCTTTTTTGTAATCAGGCTCTCAAAAAGTATATAACAATTTGGATATAGATTTATCGGCCAACATATCGGTTATCGGCTTTCAAAAATAAAGAATAATCGGTTATCGGTATCGGCCAAAATTTTCATATCGGTGCATCCCTAATCTCGATAATTTTCTGGGATTTTATCGATAACGATAATTAGATGATATTTTGCTGAGTGTATTATTGTGCTGATATCTTAAAGGGGTGGTTGACTGGTTTTTTTATAGGCTTGATTGTGTTTATGGGGTGCAGTCTAACATGTGTTAATGCTTCGTTTGTTAAAAAACGCATTATTTTTCACATAATTTAGCTTTATTCCACACCTCTCTGTCCCTTCTCCTCTGAACGCACTGATCATTTCCTGCTTTTATGAAGCCCCTCCCTCAGAAATACACGATGGGCTCTGATTGAGTAGCTAGCCCAGTGTGTCGTGATTGGCTAAACCGCCTCTAGCGTGCGTCTAAACGTCCCGCCCCTCAACATAGCGGCATGTGCTCCGGTTGTATTGTAAACAATGACGTCGTCTATATTGCTTATCAGTTTGAGCCCGATTGAGAAGCAGAGGATATTAGTGAAGAGGATCGCGCAGAACCTGTGCAAGCACGGCTTTTAATGGTAGGCCTAAGATTTTTTATCTTATAAACTGTCTCACACTTTTAGATACGCTGTTATTTGTAAATGCTACTGCTTCTGTTAGCTTTTAATATACGGTTTTATTCTGATTAAAGCTTTAATACAGTTCAGCAACCACACGCCATGTGTATACGCAACCATGTATAACGCTTCTCATAACTATAGTATGTGAAAATAAGTGTATTCACTGAGCTGATGATCTGAATGAGAGAGAGAGAGGGAGAGAGAGATGCTGAGTGTGTGCAGAGCAGGGCGAGGCCAGGAACAACTGCTGCTCTGCTGCTTTTGAACATTGATTTTGAAATTTGTGAATCCATTAGAATCGTTAGAAGACAGAATCGCGATTAATAGATTTTTAGATTTTTACGTGCATCTCTAGTTTTCTCTTCCTCTTTTCTAAAGCAGCGCAGCATGGCCTCGCCCCCTTTGTTGCGTGTTCCCGGAGGCAGGGTTTATGTAAAATTCTGGGTTTTTGACATAACGGACCCGGGAAGTAACTCGTTGTAGTCCCTTACCAGTCGTTTTTGTAGGCATTAAACTGACAGAATTTTAAAAGACGATATCTGCGTTTGCATTGAACTTTCAGCTTTGTAACTCTGCAGATATTGTTTATGATCAAACAGCAACATTACACACTAACTAACATTAAAAAAGTGAAATCGCAATCAACCACCCCTTTAAGGACTACCGTGGACAGCTGACTCCTGAATTTTTTGATATTCTTCATATTCTGTGAACTCAGTTCACAGCAATTAATAGTTTAAAAGTAATAATAAAATAATATTAAAGTATTATTATTAAATATTTAAAAAATAAAAGTTTTATGGGCATTTTTACCTTTAAGCCATTTTTTCTAAAAGTGTGCACCATCTTTTGAGTCAAATGTTTGCATTTGGGCTGTTACCAAGCAAATTAAATCCGTATCAACAAAATTGATCTTTGCAATGCAGAGGAAACACAGAAGCTGCATTAGAAGTGTCAGTTAGATGCATTTACATATGGTTTAATGCAGCTCTGAGGGAAATTAAATACTTTAACCTGCAGTTAACAAATGCATAAATAATGTTTTGATATTTTAAACATAAAATATTGAAAACTGATGTTTGAAATTATTTAAAAAATGAAAAGGTACCTTAAATGTGAAATTAAAACCGCCAGCTGGTGGAAGCAAGTTACAGTTAATAAGTGAGTCATTGCGATTGAACCGAATCATTTAAACGGGTGATTCATTCAGGAACAAAACACAAATTGTTGCTCAGAGACGCAAAACAGCACTGTGGCTGTGTTTGAAATGATTTTTGTTGGAGAAATAGAGCAAAAACAGGAAATATGGTGTCTAAAACGTAAGTCTCTTAATATTAACTACTTGTTTATTGAACTGTAGTATAAAATCAATATCACATTTGTAATCATGCTTACTTTTGGAGAAAAAAACGGCACTCTTCGTGTGATATTAACTATATGAAATGATATAAATATATACAGTACATTTTCTGCCCCATATCTTGAATTATGTGATAATTCTAAATTCATTTTAATAGACTGATTCATGCAGTGAAAGAACGCACTATAAATGCGCACGCGCACTAGTCTAACCTACTAGAATTAATCACCTAATGTATGCGTGCACTCTGCAGGTGTGTTTTGTGTTTGCTTTTCGGATTCAGGAACAAAACACAAATTGTTGCTCAGAGACGCAAAACAGCACTGTGGCTGTGTTTGAAATGATTTTTGTTGGAGAAATAGAGCAAAAACAGGAAATATGGTGTCTAAAACGTAAGTCTCTTAATATTAACTACTTGTTTACTGTTACTTGTTAACTGTAGTATAAAATCAGTATCACATTTGTAATCATGCTTACTTTTGGAGAAAAAAACGGCACTCTTCGTGTGATATTAACTATATGAAATGATATAAATATATACAGTACATTTTCTGCCCCATATCTTGAATTATGTGATAATTCTAAATTCATTTTAATAGACTGATTCATGCAGTGAAAGAACGCACTATAAATGCGCACGCGCACGCGCACTAGTCTAACCTACTAGAATTAATCACCTAATGTATGCGTGCACTCTGCAGGTGTGTTTTGTGTTTGCTTTTCGCGATATACACATAATATCAAATAGCATATCGTTAAAACAACAATTACGATATTATCGCAGACCATACATATCGCACACCCCTATACTGTTTAGATTTTTATAATGCATTGTCTTCTTATCGATCCACCAGTTCATATTTAAAGCTCTGCGTGTTTGCATGGTAAAAACATGGGTCGATCTTCGCATTGGTCTGAACTCTGAACAAAACAACAGTTTTATTGAACAACAGTTTTATTTCTGCGTGTTTGCATGGTAAAAACATGGGTCGATCTTCGCATTGGTCTGAACTCATTGAACATTTTATTGAACAACAGTTTTATTGACTTTGAACGTGCAGCGCTCATGTTTATTTAATGAAATAATAGCTTTTTGAAGTTTAATCGTCACATTCAGCCATATCGCAATTCTGGTCTTTCAGTCCCCAAATTTAAGACCTCTTGATATCATAATTAAGACTTTCTTGTACAATTTAAGACTTTTTAAGGCCTTAAATTTGATAAAACTAAATTTAAGACTTTTTAAGAACCCGCGGAAACCCTGTATAATGAATATGTCATATTTCCATGTAATACTGAATATTTTCAGTTGCTGAAATTTTGGTGCATCACCACTAAATATCTTTCAAATTATATGATGCTTTCTATTAAGTGTCTTTAACTACTATGTACTTATGCACTTATTGTGTACATGCATGTTTTTACATTGTACTTATATTTAAAAAAAAAATACCTTCCTCTAACTACTTATGCAATTAATTTCGTTAGTTACATCTATAGTCATACTGGCAACCCTTCCCCTAAACCTTAACCCTCCCTTAAACCTAACCAGACCACTAAACCTGTCGTTTAATTTACCTATATCATACCTCAATAGCAGAAAAAATGATTTCTGATACAACATGAACACAAAAAGTACATTGCACCAAACAATTCATTATTTTTAATGTAAGTACATAGTTAAGACAATGAATATAAAGTGGGACCGAGACCATTAACTCCAGTGGTTACTTTTTCCTGCAGAAGTGCTCAATCTAGCAACCTGGAAACTTGTAAACATGACTTCGGAAGCTGCATAGTAGCCACAAACAGGTGATTTGGATTTCAGTCAGAATGTGTGTCAGAGGGTCAGTGAGCAGTCTGAGGCTGATGCTCTGACCGCTATACCGTGAGCTTGACAGAGCATAGCTTTCATAAACCTTGTGACACAGGGTAAACTGTAGGTGCCCTTGACTCACCTGTTGCTTCATGTCAGCGTAGGTCTTCTCTGAGCTAAGCTCCACCTGCTTCTTAAAGTTCTCCAGTGCACTCTCAGCCTGCTGGGCCTGAAGCCTCTGACTGTCCCGAAGACGAACCAGCTGCTCCTCTTTATCCCTACAGCATAAAAAACAAACAAAAAAACCCCACAAATTGTCACCCTGTGTATATACATGAGCTTGCATTATTCTTAGGAGTCAGAACGCAGAGTGAAAGTTCTCCTCACTCAGCTTTGTTTCATGCACTCTAACATAACTGAGACGGAAAACACGTCACATAAAAGCAGCATGTTGTGCTTTATACTTATTTTTTATCAGCTGATTGGGGAAGCATTTTATGTTCACACAGAAAACTTCAGCGCACAAATGTGTGTCGACGCAAAACAAACAGCATCTCAGACTCATGTCTGACAACAACGCTGAGACACAACTGCCAAAAGAGCTGTCAGATGCAAGCCAGACTGCTACAAAGAGCTTGTCAACCTGCTTTCACTGTCTATATCCGTGCATGTGTGTGTGTGTGTGTGTGTGTGTGTGTGTGTGGCACATCTCGCCCTCCCTCAAACGTGTGTAATTACTGTGGTAATTACTTTTCATTGAGAGAACAATTCACCAGGGCCTGTGAAACTACATATTAGTACTTCATCAAACAAGTTAACCAGCATATCCAAAAAGCCACGGAATTAACTAGAGTAAAGAGGAAATGTGAATTAAAATATGTGACATGCAGTGATATGAGACACAAGACATTTAATGCGGGGAACTGTTTTTTTAAAAACATATTTTGGTAATCATGATTTACAAAAACAACTTATGTAAAACATAACATTTCAATAAAACTGTTTTTACTAGTGCTGTCAAACGATTAATCATAATTAATCGCATCCAAAATAAAAGATTTTGTTTACATATTATATGTATGTGTACTGTGTATATTTATTATGTATATATAAATACACACACATATGCATGTATATATTTCAGAAAAAATTGTATGTTTATATATTAAATATATTTATTTATATTATAAATTATATGAATATAAATATAGACATGTAAATATTTTCAAAATACATATTGTATGTGTGTGTATTTATATATACATAATAAATATATAAAGAACACACATATATTATGCAAACAAAAACTTTTATTTTGGATGCGATTAATCGTTTGACAGCACTAGTTTTTACACAAAACATTACAAATATGTATAAAATACATATATATACTGTATATATAAAACACTTTCTCTAAATGAACATCTTCATCAGCTCAAGAGAAGGACATCCTTCTTTAGTTATCGTCTCATTTAGTGTACACATACAAAACAGGCATAACAATAAGAGGAAATTAAAAACAAAACAAACGCAAAAAAAGAAAAAATAAGTTGGGGACCTTTTTTTCTTTTTCTATGGTCTCTTTTCTGTGTAATTTTGGTCTCTCTCATGTTTGACATCAAAAGATCTAGAAATTGTTTCTCCCTGACTGTTGTGTAGTCTGTAATTATTAATCTGTCTTGCAACATGAATGCCTTCAGGGCAGAGCACACACAAAAGAGCCTTCTGCTCATCTCTGATGTGGAGCAACCAGCAGACAAAAAAAAAAAAACACTGAAAGAAAGAAAGAAAGAAAAAGAAAAACAGGCGTCTAAACAAGAAAGAAACAAGAAAAAGGCGAAGCCACAAAAATAGCTCTCTGAATATTTTGAGACGTTCCAGAGAGAAGAAGGAGCAGCTCATTGTGAGGAAGAGAGGATTAGTTAGTGAGTTAGAAGTTTTAGTTAGTGGTTCATTTCTGTTTGTCTGTTTTAATGGTGAAGAATACCAACAGCAAACACATTTTTTTTGTTTAAACACAGTCAACATGAAACCAAAACTGCTCCTTTTCACTTTCTTTATATGTGCTCTGGGTTTCATTGTGAAGACTTAATCAGTGAACACTATTCCAAAGAAAACAAAAAAGTCTTGCTTTGCCTCCGAATTGACAATTTTTTTGTTTGTTTGACATCATCAAGCCCTCTTATTTCTAAACTCCTCCCTTCTAACCACCTGCCAAAGAGACCACTATTCATTATCCAAGCAATTCCTGATTGATAAAATCATGACATGATGTTGTTGCACATTCTTTCTTTTCAGTATAGACAAAGTGTCTACCATTGGCTTTTAACTACCTTGTTTGCGTTAATATTGTAAATGGATTGCCACAGAGACTGCAAAATGAAAATACATGGGAGCTTTCACTGTTTTTGTGTACAATTCCCATCCATAGTCGTACCGTTTAAAGGGTTAGTTCACCCAAAAATTCTGTCATTAATTGCTCACCCTCATGTCATTCCAAACCTGTAAGACCTTCGTTCATTTTCAGAACTCAAATTAAGATATTTTTGATGAAATCCGAGTGCTTTCTGACCCTCCATAGACAGCAATGCAACTGAAATGTTCCCAGGCCCAGAAACGTCGGTAAAACAGTCCATGTGACATCAGTGGTTCAACTGTAATTTTACGAAGCTATGAGAATATATTTTGTGCACAAAGAAAACAAAAATAATGATTTTTTTCAACAATTTGGAACAACATGAGGGTGAGTAATTAATGACAGAATTAATTTTCGGGTGAACTAACCCTTTAAGGCTGAGACTGATGCATAGATTGAATCTATAGGTGCTTAACGGTGGGTAAGACTTCTTCAGTGAGGCACATTACTAGTTCATAGATTATGAAACATTATCATTAGGAATTTTCAACTACTGTCCATTTGTCCAGGGTGTTCCCCTAACATGTGGCCCAAAACGCTGAGACCCTACAGCAGTGGACGAGTGGATTGATGTTTCTCAACTTGTTGGTCTTTGGTTGTTGTTGCATCTTTTTTTTTTATGTATTGTGCCATGCATGTCACACATTTAAGATGCCATGTCCAGCTATAAAACTGAACTTTATAAAATGCATCTCCATCTGCTTCATTCAGTCTTCATCTAGCTGCTTTGATCTCACGAATGCAAAAACCTAAATCCACCTATTTGTTCATATGTTCTCTGCATTGATTTTTCACAGGTGGTTTACCCATATTTTAAATTACATGTTCAGTCTTAAGGTTAGAAGAAAATGTCCATAAACTAATGTCCTGGCAGAAAATGACCTACTTGTACCTATTTTTTCTTACAGTTTACAATAAGATCTATGAAGTGAGCATCATCAAGTTTCAAGAGGGCAAAGGTTCATCTTATGGTTTCTATGTAGAAGTACTGCTGTGAGAACACAACAAAGGCTGACCAAGGGTGTGGAAGTGGAGAAGAGCAGAGCAGACAGTCCGTCACTATCCGTCACAGAGAGGGGTGAGATGAGAAGGCAGAACGAGGAAGGACAAATAAAGCAACGCGGCAGGGAAAGGGGAATGCCAGCTCCGCAAAGGCCTTCGGCTTTGGCTGGGGTTTGTGCTCGGAGAAGAGTGGAAGACGAGCAGACTCAAATTAAAGACGTGCCGTCAAACCAGAGGAAATCCTTCTCATCCTGCACTCTTTAAGGGGATTTTTTTGGGGAAAAGCAGAAGGAAGGGACTTAAGGAAAGGGCGACAGTGCTTCCGACTAGCCACAAGTCAGACAGGAGGGTCAATTTTCCAAACCTCCTTAACCACAGGACGCCTCCAATGTGGAGAGCAGGACGCTTCGATGGGGAGCTTGTACTGTAAATAAGACTGGAGATGCTGCTAATTCAAATGTTATGGCCACACAAACGCACCCATTCATTTTCATCCAGCCTGCATTCAACCCGTCCGACGCCTGAGTTTCTGGCACCCGTGGCTGCAAAGAACCTGGGTTCGTGACCTTCAAAGCACCTGACCTGTGATGGATGCCACAATAAACTCACTTTTGTCTGACTGTACAAAAAAGAACAAACAATTTCCCCCAAAGGCTATAGATTTACACTCACACATTAGTGACAACACATGTAATAAGTGTTTATGTAGAAAATCCAGTTTAACCAATATTGCCTTAATTGATTCTAGTTGATTCTTGTTTGATCCCAAATTGGAGTCAATCTATAAATTCTGATAGAAAGAGAGAGATATTGAGTGCTCAATTTTATATTGGAAAAAAATGTGGAATATATCATACGTATTCTATAAGTCACTGAGCATCGGAGCGAAGACATCTGGCTAAAAAGCTGTACAAACGCAGCATCTTCATATTAGACTCACACTTGGCCAACACTCAGTCTCTCTGGACGTGGGCTATAAACACACTAGGAGAGACATATGGATTCCAGGTGGATTACACCTCTCCACACCAGTGTGAAGCCAAAGGCCATGCACTCCATGAGCTCATCATGACAGAATGATAACACATCCAGGACCAGATCAAAGCTGGGGCCCAAAAAGAGGCAACATATTAAAGCCAGAGAGAAAATGCAAAGCTGAAATTTTCAGCGCCCTCAAAAGAGGAGTGCCTCATTCCTCTGTCCCCAGAGAGCCAGAAACGCACAGAAACAGCCTCGCACACTTTACGACTGACATGCAAATACGCACTGTTCAAAAATAACAGCAGCCGCTGCGTGAGCATGCAGTCTTAACACCCTGCGCTCATGGTCAAATACCCGCTTGGGGTTCGAGGAGATGGCCAGTTATTGATTGAGGTATGAATTTCTTGTTTGTCATTTAATGCAATGTAATGCAATCTGTAGTCGAGTTTTTTTCTGAATAAACTTTGTTCTGAATAACATGCTACAGCTGCAGAATACAGTATGCATACTATGCAGACAATACAAATTTTCTGTTTATGCATATAATACCAACATGGTCTACATTTGACAAAATGTGCAGTATACTACAGATTATACTATGGGGGCGTTGAATGCTTGAATCTGATTGGCTGACAGATGTTCTAAGGTGTGCAATTATTTTCAGGGAAACGCACGGCGAATGTACTGTAGTTTCAGGCAGCTCTTGACCACATTACATGACCATATCACTTCACCAAATGATTTCAGTTATTTCAAAGCTCCTTACAGCCTAAAACAGCAAAAGAACCAGCGAAAACCGACAACGATACTGGCCTAACAGATAAATACAGTAAACAATAGGATAAAAACGACAGATCATTTCCATGTTTTTGCCACAAA